GACTGCTTTGTTTCGATGAGTACGATGTCTCAGCGAAGTCATTTAACCCAGTGTTTCTCAAACTGTGGGGCGCGCCCCCATGGGGAGGGGCGTGATAACCTTACGAGGGAGGCGCGAGCATATCGAAAATGAAAGATTTAAAAATTAATTAATTTACTGGAATGAATTAAAACAAAATACTTTCAGACATAATAAAAAAATGCACTTTTACTCTGATATAAGTTATAGATGATATTAAATCATCAAAAAAATTTCTTTAATACTTAATTAGCTATCTTTGATCCTATAACCAAATAAAAATATTTTATTTAATTTCCTGTAGTCCCATGATGAGAGAGTTTATATTACGTTTTCTTTTTTAAAACTAACATTCTACTCTTTCAGAGAAAAAACAGATCCCAGACCCAGAATCGAAAAAATTTAGGAACATAAAAGATTCATCATTGTCATTATTTTTGAAATACTGCACATTATAGCTGTAATTTGTTTGACCTTCTAAGTTATTGGTACAGTTAGTTATGACCCCTCTCTTATGTGTTTATTTCTCATTTAAGGAAGTTGTAAGTAATTTATTTCTCTGTTGCACTTTTTTCAATGCAAAACAGTTTTGATATTTGGAAAACCACGGAGAGCACACACACTTTGATGGATTACTTGGCCAAGACTTAGACCAAGATGAGTATTTTCAAACATATATAAAGCATAACAATTGTTTTTAGCAGTAGCATACATATTATCATAATGAATACACTTTTTATCCGAAAGTGGTCGCGCGGGGCACACAGATCACGAAATTGTTAATTCCGGCAAAACTGTTTATTTGTTACCAAACAAAAATTGAAAAGTCCTTGAAAGTAGATAAGTAAACTTTCTCTTAATTAAACTATTCACTGGAATAACGATTTGTATCGTGTACAATAAAATAATTATAAAAAAAGGATTGGGGTGACTCAACAACCCCGCTTGACCTTATAGAGTGCACTCCTGCTCCCAGGTTAAAACATGTTGAAATTTTTTTCCCTTAAATATTAAAAATAATGCAATTATTCGTTATTGGAATTTTATATTATTGTTCATTATTTAACACCAATTATAAATGGTAATTCTGTGAGGCTTAAAATTAAAATTCACTTAAAACTAATTATAATTTGAGCAATCATTTTTTAAAAAAACATTTTACACACACATTTTTGTAAACATTGTCGCGCACTTATTCTCCTTACAATGCAGCTATTATATCAAGAATGTTTTATTTTCTTATAAATGAACTCCTTCAAAGAGCGGGTACTTCAGCCGGTATACTTTTAATGTATCAGTGCTGTACAGAGTATTTTATAACTAATTAATTAATACCAAATTAAGTACAAGTTTAATAAGTATTAACAACTTCCATGGGCTTGTCTTGCAAAGCAAAGTTTTTATAAGGAATGCTTATGATTAGAAATTGACCCTCTGAGTTCTTTTTCTATATATTTAGCAGATATCCATATTTTCTCTTCTAAGCAGTCACCGCATTTTGCAATATGTTCAATTTAAAAATTAGAGAAAGGAAAAATAACATAATAATTATCCTATTACTTACTTAATTTATTTTTTTGCTTAAAGGGGTAGTATTCAAAATTTAATACTTATGTTATTAATTTATATGGTTTATAATTAAGATCTCGTATTGTAGCTTTAGCGTCAAAGTGCATTATTATTGCATTTAGTGCATTATTAATGTATAAGGTGGGCGCGATAAAAATTGTGATTGAAAAGGGGGGCGCGATAAAAATTGTGATTGAAAAGGGGGGCGCGATAAAAATTGTGATTGAAAAGAGATGCGCGATAAAAATTGTGATTGAAAAGGGAGGCGCCAGTATTGAAAAATTGAGAAGCACTGATTTAACCGATTCAGAAGCTTGGAGAGTTGTTGGTAGGTTAGAAGGGGGCCAAACTCAAGCCGAAGTAACGCAAGCCATTGGAGTGTCACAAAGTGAGATTTCCAGGATCTATATATAGAGAGAGAGAGAGCCGTTTTTTGGAGGCTGGAAGTGCAGGCTGAAGACCAGGACAATGTCGTAGACGGGCAACAACGCTCAATGAAGATCGTTATTTAGTGTTAACGGCTCGGAGACACTGAAATATGAACACTACTCTTCTCTAACAACACCTTCGCTCGGCTACAGGCACCACGGTATCAACTCAGACTGTCCGAAACCGGCTCCATGGTGTAGGTCTGTATGCTCGCCGATGGATGGTATGTGTTAGACCAACATCAAGGCATCGTCACGACCGCATGGAGTGGGCAACAGAGCATGTGAACTGGAGGAGAAATGAATGGAGCAATCTTCTTTTTTCTGACGAGTCCCGTTTTTCTGTTCATCCGGATAATAGGCGTATTTTCATTTGGAGGGACCTGGCAGTAGGAATAATCCTGCGTTCGTGTACTAAAGTGTCAGATTTAGCGGTGGGGTAGTGTTGGTGTATGGTGGCATCTCCATTGATGGGCGCACAGACCTCTACATGATTCGTGATGGACCTCTGACTGCTCGCCGATATAGGGATGAGATCCTCAGACCTATTGTAGTCCCTTACGCTGCAGCAATCGGAGATGACTTCATTTTAATGGACGATAACTGCAGGCCACATCGTGCTAACCTGATGGAGGATTTCCTTTTCGAGGAAGGAATCGTACGAAAGGAATGGCCAGCGTGTTCTCCAGACATGAATCAATAGAGCACGTTTGGGACACTCTAGGAAAGCGAGTTGCTGGCCGCCAACCACCCCCACAAATTCTCCAAGAACTGGAAAGAGCTCTTCTGGAAGAGTGGGACAGAATACCCCAACTCGTGATTAATAGCCTCATTGACTCCATGCTTCAAAGATGCTCAACGTTGCTGGCCATCCGTGGAAACCATACCCCTACTGAAAATTATTTCCTTTGAAGAAAGCACCTTTTCTTAATTTTTTTTTTTTTTTCTCATTTGCACAAATTGTGTTTTTTTTTCCTTTTGTACACAAATGCGCAATAAAATGCATTTTTTCTGCCAAACATGTGTAATTTATTCTCATATAACCTACTACGTCTGTCGACCATGTATCAATCAGCTAAAAAGTTTACAAGCTACAAGATCCACCTAAAACCGCAATATCCTTTAATTATTTTGAGCAGTGTATATTACTATTTTTTTAAAAATTACAACAGTATTTACTAATGTACACGACATATAGTTTTACGAATCTAATGCAGACATAGTGTTCACTCCATTTCTCTCGATTCATCTTTTGCATGGTCAAAAGAAAAATCAGCTTCATCATGTAGCAACACCCTCTTTTGTCCAAAAAAGTCATCGTTTCAAGCTAATTCCTGACAACATCGTGCCTTATAACTTCTACAACACGCCACAGCTCTTTGACGAAGCTTCAATTACAAATTTAGAATTTAATTAAAATAAAAATGAGAAGAACTTCAAAGCTCAGTTAGGTAGCCGCAGAAGCCTAGTAGTCAAGGAAACGGATTTGTGGCCGGCGTATCATGAGTTCGAGCCTAGTACTGCTGAAGACCCTCTGTGTAAGGGAGTGATTCACGTTAAATCTGTCGAGGCTCAAATATCCTCCCGTTTGGTGTGGTAGTTAGGAGAGGGGATGCCAGCTGAAATCCGTTACCAAAAGCCCTCGAGTAACTGAACACAGTACGGCGTTAATATTCACTCACTCACTCAGTTCAATTTAACGTGAAGATATTCGAACTTTCCAGCATGACGAAGATATTGTGAATACAAGACTCGAACCAATGGCTCATCACTCACAGAGTTTTAACCCATGTCTATTCATCCGTATTTCGGTCACATATTGATGAAAAAAGTCTTAGAAGCAGTTAAACTTCACAAATTGAAAAAGAATAGACTTTTGCACATATTAGAGAGAAGGAGGGAAAAGAGTTCAAGATGTTTCTTAATTTCTTATACATTTTTAATTGTCTTCGTTTGAATGTATAACGAGAGTCTGTTATCTATAACTACTGTTATTCGTTTTGTACAATTTTTAAAATTGCTTGTGTTTCTGACCTCTTCAGTTAGAGAAAATTAAATTTTGTTATCTAACTTCGTTTTATTAATTAAAATTTAATCAATCAGCATTAAAACGCGTATATTGTTATTCATAAGTTAAATTGTAATATGTTCATAGATAAGAAAAGTAAACATATAATTTACAATAACTTTTATTTTATTAGGAACCTATTATTTATTTAATTTATTAAATAACTGATTTAAAATAATACCTTTTCACAATCCGAAGTGATAGCATTTTTATTTTAGAAACTGATCATTTATGGTATTTTAATATTTTATTTGTATATTATGTACCCAAAAAAGTGTGTGTGTGTGTGTACTTATGTACGCACGTAAGAAGTTATACTTCTTTGGCGCAACAAGATTAAAATATTTCTAAAAATCTTGAGCATGGCAAGCTGAGCCAAGGACGAAAAGCAATCACGAGCAGAGGTGAACGATACTAACCTTCAGTCAATCGGACCACAGCCAAAACCGAGATAATCATGATTTAAATAAATTTAAACAGCTCGGAACGGGGACAATAGGACTAGTAACATGGGAGTTTTCGTCAGACTGTATCTGGAGATGAGGCGAACCGAATGTGACACCTGAGACCTCATATTGAATGTCTCGGCGGAAAGAATCGTTCCCGAGAAAATTAAGACATCCGCCTGAAGAGCCCCCGAGTTATGGTCACTTAAAAATAACTAAAACAATTAAATAAAATAGAATCAGGGCACCTCAGAAGGGCACCTCAACAGATTCAGCTCAGTAGTAGAGCATTCGACTGCTACTCGAGAGGTCCCCGGTTCAAACCCGGGTACCCCCTTCATCATGGAAGTGAAGAAAATAATTTTTTTGAGAATTATGAAGGTGGGAATGATCTGTCCGGTTCTGTATATTTCTATACAAAGCAATTTCGTATCCATTCCTACGGAACGCAAAGCAAAAGTTAGCTGACGCGGGGTTATAGATCAGTGGTAGAGCATTCGACTGCAGATTGACAGGTCCCCGGTTCAAGCCCGGGTGCCCTCTTCCTCAAGGAAGTGAGGAGAAATATTTTTTGAGAATTTCGAAAGTGGTAATGAGATCTGCTCCGTTCTGTATATTTCTAGACAAAGCATTTTCGTATCCGTTCCTACGAAACGCAAAGCAAAGGTTCGCTGCCACGGGGTGTATAGCTCAGTGGTAGAGCATTCGAATGCAGATCGAGAGGTCCCCGGTTCAAACCCAGGTGACCTCTTCTGGGAAGTGAAGAGAAATACTTTCCTGAGAATTTTGAAGGGTGTGACGACTTACGCGTCTTTTCTTTAACAAGTCCTTTGGGTTCTTTGGGCCAGAATTAATGGCAACTCTTTTTTCCAACCAAATCCAAGAAACGAGAAGTGAGGAGATGCAAATAATATAGAATAAATATAGGATCTTAGAGTAAGCGGAAGGGCAATGAGGGCAATGTAATGGTAGTGTAAAGGAATGTTCGACAATTAACGTGCGTTGTGGTATTGAATAATTATTGATTCGCTGTTCAAATATTCAAGTTCTACGTGTTGTGGATCAACATATTGGTGAGCGGTTAGAAGTTGAAAGTAAAGCTACTTACCACTATAGATAAAGACAAGTTTATTACAGAATAATATAAGGTAGGATGGATTATTAATTATTATTGTTATATTTGAAGATTAGGCGGTCAATTATTGAGATAGGTCTGAACTATATTGTGTGTTGCGTATTGCGTCATAGTAGATTCTCTCATCCATTAATAAGATTATATTTTTCAAAGTTTAAGTTGAATATCTTAATAAAGTCATATTAAGATAATGTTTGATTCTAGTTCTTACGTTAATCCTACACCTCTAGCTCACGCTGATAGTTCGAGGGATGTACTTCCAAGGGGAGGTACATCACAAGGGGGTCCCGTTCTGTATGTTTCTAGACAACGCATTTTCGCATCCGTGACGGTGTGCGCACGCATCGGAAAAATTTACCCTCATCCTTTTTCACTAACGCCCCAAAAGAAGTATAACTTCAAAAAAAGAATAAAAAACACAACATAACACACACTTTATTTTATTATAATTAATAATATCCAATTATATATCTTTTTACTTACATAATGATACGAAATTAAAAGTCACAATGAGAATGTGGTTTGAATTAATATTTAATGTTTACATGACTTGTTTCTTCCACAGAAATACGTTTGAAGACGCGCCGTGTCTAGCCCGCGGTCACTCGTGCCTGTTTTTGCTACCGTCGTCACTCGCGGGGTGTAGAGAACGCACCAAATTTTTAACACGTGTACATAATTATGAAAAAAAATTAAGTCAATTATGATACATATTTATAAAGTACAAGATGTTTTTTGTATTATACAAATAAAATTATTAAACTTATTATATACAAATGAGATTAACCTTCATTTAAATCGTAGTTTTGCGCATTATTTTTGGAATACTGGGAGGGTTTTCTTGGTATTAGGGTGTACAGAACACCCCGCGCTAGTGATTGTGGGCTAGAGGGGCTAATGATCGTTAAATTTGTGGATGCTGTAAGTCCTGATGTTAGCGGGGCGTGTAAGCTTGGAGAAGGGATGCAGCTTATATACTCGTCCTCATCACTTAATCAAAATTCAAAACCATTGGGTTCGTCATCAATTTCTTTTGTGAAATTGAGAGTTTAATATTAAATGAAATTAAATTAAATATCCAGCAGAAATTACCTTTAAAAAGAATGCTAGTATTTTTCTATTATTTAAGTAAATTTTATTAATAAATATTTGCTATTCATAAGAATGTTATATAAAAAGCAGCCTATATAGGCTGTCTTTTATATATGACATGAATGGTGAAAATGAATTTAAAAAAAGGACGACATCAAGCAATTTGTTAGCAATATGATGCTAAAGAAAACATTGCGAAGAAAAATATTAGATTATTTTCCAAAATTTTTTGTTTTCCAAAAAACTTTAAAATTTTGTATTAAATTTCATTAAGTTCTTGTGAATGTTTTGTTTCATTTATTTTTATTAAATACATGCATATGTACACATCTATGTAAATAAAATGAAATATAATAAACTTAATTTTGTTGAATATGTGTTTTTTTGCAATATCCTTCGACACGAAGTTCTTTTAACACGGAACACTATTTAAGTACCCTCAGTTTCGTGTTAAACGATTTTTACTATATTTAACATGCATCGGCCCCATCTGTGCGGTGGGTCTTTAGCGGTACTGGGCTTGAACTCACATAACACGCCGGGCATAAGTCCATTACCTTGAAATAATTGTGGAGATCTCGGGATGAGAGTGTTTTATTTTTCTCCTGTCTACATACAGATAGGACATTAATTTATACCTGTTTTAAAAGTACAAAATCATGAAGTCAATCAATAAAATTTAGGCTAATTAATCAGTAGAGAAGTATCACAACACTACTGAAGCAGTTCTGAAATTTTGATAAAGCTTGAAAGGTTGCGCCCATTTTACGAAATGTCTACAAATGTTTATCCTAATTGCGTGTTCAGTTCGAAAAAAATCGGTGATTTGAGAATCAAGTAACGTTCGAAATGCAATTTTTTAGTTATATAATCATTTAAAACGTACAAACGAAAAAATAATATCCCTGAGGCATTTCATCGATAGAGAGAATAAGGTTTCTTATTCTCACCTCGTTCAGCACAGGCCATTTTTATGCCTTTTTTTGGGTGTTATAATCATGATTTATCGATTGTTTATTAACGTGGTGTATTTTGCTGAAGTTTTTCCGTTTTTTTTGCTGAGTGTATAAGTGGTCACGTTCATTCACAATAAAAAAATTACAAAACTGCACGAACGAGTTTATTAATAAATTTTCGCGGCTAATTCTAAGTTTGTTCTTCTTCCCCTTCTCTTCTTTTTTTAATTAGATTTGTTTCTAGATTTGTCTTTAAAAACGTGATTTTTATTACGTCTTTTACTTATATGCGAAAACTTTTGAAGCAAATAATTATTTTAAAGAAGAAATGATTCTATATTGTCTGGAATTTGAGTATTTCGAAACAATTTTAATACGCTAACACTAATTGGTTTCACAATTAAAATATACTTTGTCAAAAATATTAGATATTTTAAGTTTTATCTTTTAGAAAAATACCCGCAATGATAAAAAAAAAAAAAGAATCAATGATTATGTTGTGGTGTGAAATCCATTGAAAAAGAAGCATGTCTCTCACAACTTTCATTTTGTGGCCGCGGTAGCTTAAGGATTATCATCGCGAACCCTTTTCCGGCGTGTCATGAGTTCGAGCCCTCATGCCGTTGAAGACCTGCCGTGCAGATGGGCTGATGTGCGCCAAATCTCCGTCAAGGATCAACTCCCGTTAGGGTGATGCGGTAGTTTAGAGATGGAATAACAGTTCAGGAGTCATTCTCATCCCTTGGTCAAGGTTCAAAATTACGAAGTCCATCGCCAATAACCCTCGTATTACTTCATAGAGAGACATTAATGGGCACTTACTCCCTCATGAAATTACCGATAAATTTCAATGTATTTACACTTTTGGGTCCACGAAAAACAAGCTTGGGATCATGCTACCACAACAATAAAAAGAAGCAAATGAAATGCCAGACAATCCAGTTTCAACTACAGTTGATTATGGTTCAGTATTTGCCTAATACTGAGTCTATAGAATTTTCACACTGTATGTCACAAATTAGTAGTATGGTTATTTTATATTAAGTTGTAATCATTCGCAAATAAAAATGTATCCATTGTGTTAATTCTTTGCCTGATATCTCAAACTTTTATGTCAATAAATAACAGATGATAGTTACAACAACAAGAATGATAGTTTTTATCTAAAAAAACAAATTTTGCAATATTCATTCACAAGTGTTCACAAAGAAGTGTCAGAAATACAAATCACAAAATATGTCACTATGAAAGTGTGATTTGCTTTTAATACATAATAGAAGTCCCCGGTGAGCTTTTTCACTCACATCCAATCTTTTTTTTTTGTCTCAGTTATCCTCTGTTCAAAATAAGGTTAATTTCTCGCGATCCCCAGTATTTGAAATCAGTGTACCTTTATAGGCATAAAAGAAGCATCTGTTTGGTTTACTACTTTAAGGGCAAGATTTGACCAATTGTGCCAAAAACCAGCCAATTATCCAGAATATTTACTACCTCTAATACGAACAGAAATAAAAATCTGTTAATACAATAAAAATAGAATGTGTAATTACTGACAGAATTAAAAAAAGAAAAATTGAGGTAGACCAATACACGGAAACTAATCATATTATAAATAGAAGGTCAACCATATTAATTAATGTCAGCGAATCCCATGAAAGAAAAGAAGGATTATTTGAACGTCTCTGAATTTGAAAATTTTGAGGAAGGTAACATCTAATAAAATAAAGCAGTTGAGGTATAAGGAGACTTCGTGGAAGTCTTCTCACGTGAATATCTCCTTTTGAGGAGAAGATAAATCAAGAAGTTTGTAACCGCTTAATAGTTGATGAGAAAATCCTTGGACAGTACACATAACGCTTGTTTAAGTATTTTTTAGAGTAATTAGTATTATTCTCTTCTCACATGTATTGCTTTTCCTTTTTATAAGTTTCACTTGTATGTAATGGAATCTTTGAAGTCAATTTTTACCCACTTTACAAGGTCAGATTAATTCGAAATTTTGCACACTTGTCAAGGACCGATGACAATACAATAATTTCATAATTTTGTTTCATTGCCGTGATCAGGATCCTCAAAAATAAGGGTTTCGAGATTTGGCGACTAATTCATTATATCTTCTCCAGATTTGGCGACTATTTGCATAAACAATTTTCAGATTTGGCGACTAATTCCATATGTCATTTCAAGATTTGACGACTAAAGATTAAAGTGCAACCCTAAAACCGCAAATAGGCTTGTGGTTAACATAAATAAAACAAAAAAGGGTTCTTTATGTGAAAAAGGGTAGGGTGGGTGCGTAGTTTTTCTGAAAATGGAAATAAAAAAAAGACTCGAGCATGTAAATAATAATAATTTATGTT